AGGGTCACTATAGCGCTCCGTGTTCATACGAAGTGTAAATAGAAGAAACGATTCATATCCTCGTCTTACGACGGGACCGCGTATGTTGAGCATTACAAGAGAGTAATGAGTAATACGAGGAGATGAGTAAAGGTTCGACTAGGAACCAGAGAGGTGACACTCGAATTTGTGATCCTGAGAACGAGATCCTATAAAATATTTCAAATGTCACGCGCGTTAGTGTTGCGTTACGAAAACTAAAACTTACCGGAAGTTGCAATGTTAAAGATTAACCTTCTGTCTTTTCATAACTCACTTTAAGAAAATGGCGGTAAACTTCGATCTTGACCATGATTTTGAAAATGTTACAAAAAAAATCAGTTACACCTACGAGTTAAAAAGGAGGATTAAAATTGCCTTAGTTCAAAGCTCCCGAACGATTTCAGGCGAAAAGGTAAGCTGCGATCATATTATTGTATGTAACTAATAAAACATGGTTTTAAGGACGAAATTCGATCGAAATCCGACCAGCGAAGCTAACAACGTTAAATCGTAATAAAACAAATAGAGACGAGGCTTATTCTTTCCAAAGAAGAAGGTACCACTTAACGTCCACCTACATACATGTATGTAAATGCTTGTGTGCTCGTCGAGTTTGTGCATGACTAATGCATTATTTCCCAAGGAGACTGTGTTGATTCGGGCCTTGGAATGGAAGATGGAGAAATCCGGAATAATAAAGTAACTGCTTCTTCTGAACAAAGTGCCAACACACCGGCCAAGAATGGTCGACTAAACTACATAGCAGGATCATCATGGTGTGCAGGAACAAGTGACACTAACCCATATCTACAGATTAATCTACGGACACTTCATATCATCTGTGCTGTGTCCACTCAAGGGAATTCTCAAGCAGATCAGTGGGTAACAAACTACACCCTACAACTATCTACAGATGGGACAACTTGGACAGACTATAAAGAGGGTGGACAAGTAATGGTATGGAACATAAACTGTGAAAGTTAGCAGTGCAAAGAAATTGTGTACAATACAATAGCATAGACTATACAGTCAGATGTACAATATTTTACAAGTTTGATGATATTGAAGTGCCAGCCTGAAAATGGTAGTCATTAAAATAATGATTATGTATTGTGTGTTAGGGTTCCAAGTTTTTCTAGAGAATAACTTAATTAGCCCCTGGCCTTTATGATGCACCTGGCCGGCTGTTAAATGACACTTAGTTGTCACTTCCTTCAAATTGTTTATTTTCCCTCCCTCCCACACAGGGTAGCCTTCCTCGAGTCCTCAAGGGGCTCCTCATTTTCTCACTAATGATGTCCAAATGATTCACTGTGTTGTACAAGAAGGGTGTGGCAGGGGTTAATTTGGATATCAGTACCCATGCCCTTTTCCCAATTTTCCAAAAAGTACCTGATGATTATATTTTTTTCTCATAGGTCCTCAGGGGAAATAATGACAGAGCCACAAGTGTTAAACATGTTATTTATGAAGTATTAACAAGGTATCTTCGATTCCTGCCACAAACTCACCAAGGTGGGGTGTGTATGAGAACAGAGGTGTTTGGAGTGGTCAAACAACAGCGAGGTGAGTTTTGAACTTTGTATATATTTTAATTTTTAGTTTTAAGTTTAATTCATTCGCCACAGGAATGGCAGGAGAAAGGAACAGAACTTTTGTTCCAATTGACACCTAACCCCTTTTTTTTTTACCCACCCATCTCATCCCGGGAGGACATCCATCACACAGTAATCTCGTGTGTGGGAAATTAACGTCTCTTACCCCAACCCTGCAGTAGACGGGACCTCCATTTATCATCCCTATCCGAGAAGACTAGAAAGTCTAACCATTTGCAGATGTTATTACAAAGGCAGCACTTTCTTCTCAGTTAATTGAAGACCCTGAGTGTTGGTCCGGCCGGATTTGAACTCACGACCTCCTGCACAACAGTCCGGCACTCAACCAATTTTTCCTTGTTGGTTTGAGACATTTGATTGATGCATTTCAATATGAATTTCAGTATATGTTAAGTATTATATGCACCGAAATGAAACATTAATTTACCATTTAACATTTTACACCTTAACATCAGAAAGTATATTCTCTATACTGTTTTCTATATGTTTCTTAGGGAGCTGGCAAGAAAAGTTTGTTTTAACAATCAAGAGCTTCTTTAGTTGGTGATCTTTTCCTTTATTCTCCTGACCTTAATGTGTGATTCAGGGGTGATATTGTAAGGAGAAATTAGCTGCTTGTCAAAGGGCTAAAAATGCTCAAGATTCAATCAGCATGTAAATTTTAATGACATGTTTGTGAGTTGACACATAAGTGATTGCTTTCATACTATCAGATAACAGAAAAAAAATAATTATGGGTAAGATCTTAGGGGCCCTTGAGAAGTTATTTTTAATTATTAATTATTTTATGCTGCCACATTATGCCATTTTACAATATTTGGGCAATAGAACATTCCAAATACATAATTGTTCTTAATTAATATAATTGTAGTACAGGGCAAAAATAGCAGTGGGGCAGGGTGACAAGCTGTGAATATTAGCCTATCTACATTTTGATTCGTTTCCATCTTTGAGTTTTTCACTCAAATATTTAAAATATTTGAGGGAAAAGCTTGTTAGTTAACAAGATTTTTTCAGTTTATGTTTTATTGGGCACCTAAATGGTTTCAATTGAGTTGCTTTCATCTTTAACACATGTCGATCCAGTAAATGGGAAATTGGTACAATTAAGTTGAGCTGAATTGATCAACAGATAATGGTAGTCTGATTTAACATATTGTACACTTGATCACTTAAATTGTTTTACACGATTTGGAAGGCTGCCTGTTTTAAATTATTATCTTGCAGTTTGTGAGATGGAGGCCATCGGTCTGGCCAGTGGTGGTGCAATTCCAGACAGCAGCTTCACAGCCTCAACATTTTTCAGTAATGGATATAAACCTTCTTATGGTCGACTGAATGGAAGTAGTAGGGGTTGGGCACCCAAGACTAAGACCAATCCTACTGACTATCTGCAAATTGACCTGCTGCAAAACTATGTCATCTGTGCTGTAGCTACTCAAGGAGCTAATGGTATTGATGAGTGGACAAAAAACTACAAGATTCAGTTATCATTGGATGGTACCACCTTTTTCACCTATAAAGAAAACAATATTGACCGGGTAGGTTAATTTATATTAACATCATGCACATTAATTTGTACATATTAAAAATACCAAAATAACTACATGTACCCGGAACATTCAATCAGTTTTTGGGAGTCAAGAGAATGGGACACAAAAAAAGGTGTTCAGTTCGTCAAAATTCAGATTCAATTCTCCTTCGCATGAAGTACAAACTGATAGTGGAAGATTCATTGCTCTTTCCGACGAAAACAAATGTGAGTGGATGTTGTGTCATGTAAATACAATTTATACTTTTATTATCTCCTGCTACACCACTCTTGCACAACACAAAGAGCAAACAAGACTGTCATCGTGGTAAATCTGTTGGGGCATCTCTAATGAGGAAAATAATGAGGAAAAGCCCCCAGGGTGGGAGAGAGGAAACAACTGGAATTAATTGAATTGACAAAATAAAGTGATCATACATGTATGACAACCAAATGTCAGTCAACAGCTATCCAGGCATAGCATGAAGGCATGGGGCTAATATTAAGTTATGAAAGAAAGTTAAGGAAATATTAACCAGCATCAGTTAGTTGTCAGTAGTTCAAGTCAACAGGACTTATTAACAATCACATCTTAACTTTATTTATGCAACCTACTGTTTTTTCTTTAAAACATTCAGGAGATACTTACATGTAAAAGGAATAATACAGACAATTAATTGATTACAGAATACCAATTTTTTCTTGTGGTGCTTGCTGTATTAATTATAATCTCTCACAAGCCACATGTACCTCCCCCCTAAATATTATTTCAACTTTTAGTATAGTCATAATTGCACTTTGAGGTAATTTTCTAACAAAAGAAAGAGTATTAGTATTTTAAATGTGGTACTCATAAGAGACAGGTACTTCTACAGAACTCCATGATTCTCGTGATGCAATACGTTAAGAAAATTTTGATTTAATAATTTTGCATTTTATGCAATAAAACTACAGGTCTTTACTGGAAATTCAAATCAAGGTGGCATCATAAAAAATAGTCTACAGGAATTTGCAAGTGCCAAGTTTATCCGCTTTCAGCCAACAGCATACAACAGCTACAAAGCTCTGAGAGTGGAAGTGTATGGATTAGTTCCAACTAAAGGTATTTATTAATACTTTCATTTTTGTCTTCCCCTGTGATAAAATCTCAGTAACTTACAGCATATAATCTGTGATAGCCAAGAGAGATTAAGGGCCAAGGGCAAGAGCTAAAGAAAAAGTTTGATATTTTCCAAAACTGATTTAGCCTTGGTTGAGTGAGAATGGTTTTGAAAAAGTTTTAGAGCTGATGATTTGAGAACTTGACCATCAACACCTTTTACTTTCTCTTCAACTTTGAATATTGCATTGACCACACTGAGATCCTTCCTCTTCTATTTTTGCCTAACAAAATTGTGCTTACAAGTCTGATTGTTATTCATGGTCTACATGATTTAATGGGATTCAATATTTATGAATCCTTGTGGATTCTGGAACCTACAACCTGTTGAAGGTTTCCATTGCAAACCAATCATAGGTCTTGTGCTGTGTGGAGCACCTTTACCCTCAGGATATTTATATCATTCTAATGTATATATTTGCTTTGGGTCAAATTTCTTCTTTGGTTTGAATTTCTTTAAATTTGCTTTAAATTTTTCAAACTGGTGTGAAGTTTTCAAACTGGTTAAAATTAATGTTTTAAAGCGGGCTACTCATTCTCATTTATTTGTATCTTTGCATGTACCATACTCTATGTAAAATAAATTTGTGAACATCCCTGTCCAGCTTTTGAATTGCATTTTATAGGTACATGTGTCAATCTCTTCTTCTTACCTTTGTCCTTCAACTGTAAAGAGGAAAAAGAGGCTTGATAAACTTGGATGCACTAATTAATTAATTGAGCACAAGTGAATTTGTCCAAAGGGGAAATTTTCATTTAGTGTGTGTGCATGCGCATGTGTGTGTGTGAATTGAGATCATTCAGTTATTAGTATTAGTAAATGAGAGGCTCAGTGGTCAGCTAGTTTCTCTTCATGAAAGGGGCACCATCAGCATACAGCAAGAACTTTGATTTAGTTAAGGTGGATTAATTGATCTACAGATGCTATAGTCTGAAGTTACGTATGTTATGTGATCGATCACTTAAATTATTAAACTGAATAATTTGTGTCAAAATGTGAAGGCTGATTTTAAATTACCTTTCAGATTGTGAAATAGAAGCTATTGGTCTGGCCAGTGGTGGTGCAATTCCAGACAGCAGCTTCACAGCCTCAACATTTTTCAGTAATGGATATAAACCTTCTTATGGTCGACTGAATGGA